GTAGGGTCTCACATATGGTCTAAGTTGCCCACTTGGGCTTCTTGCCATGTAGGTACTAGCTGGCCCCTTAGGCAAATGAGTTTGCAGCCCTGGTCTAAATGATCCAGTGTGAGCCTGGGGTATCAACATAGAAGACCACCCCATCTTCCCTTTGGCCATTGCTTCCTTTTTACCATCCATACTCTTTCCTAGGAATTGGCCAGAGCAAAGGTCCTGATGAAACCCCAGATGGCAGTGAGGGTGGCCCTGTGACCCATGGGGCATGACACTGGGCTACCTGGGCTGGCTTCTTTTGGCTCTGGCGGTAACAGTGGACAAGTGCTCTGAGACCCTTGCTCAGTCTGGTGCCTGCCTCTCTCTTTGCTCGGGCAGTGTGGATGGGGGTGAACTCTTTGACCGGATCACGGATGAGAAGTACCACCTGACCGAACTGGATGTGGTCTTGTTCACCAAGCAGATCTGTGAGGGCGTGCATTACCTCCACCAGCACTACATCCTGCACCTGGACCTCAAGGTAGGTTCCGCCCTGGGCTCGCGGCCTCCCATTCCTGAGCCCCTGGTACGCTGTCATCATTGAGAGCTCTGTCAACGATCTCAGCTTCCACTCCTGGCCCTTTGCCATTTCCTAGTGCTGGAGTCTAGGGCAGGCCAGTCCTGCAGCACTTCTGAGCCTCAGTTCTTCCATCTATAGTATGGATAACTGTACCTCTTTAAGTGTCATTTGAAGATTAAATGATACAATGCCCTTTTTCTCTCTAAAAATATCTTTAAGGTTAGTTTTTGAAAAGTTTGAAAAGGAACTTACGTGTGTGGCAACAAATATAGACAATATAGTAGTGTATAAAGTACACAGTGAAAGTTCTCCCCACCCAGTCTTGATGCTGAGAGTCTTCTCTATGAGCAATCTGGCGTGATACACAGACACACACAAAGGGGATCACAGGGTGCATGTTATTTTTGAGCTTGCTTTTTTTAGTTAATGATACATTGTAGACATCGTTCCTTATTCTCTTAAGGGACATGTGATACTTCATTGAACAAATGTTTTACACTCTCTTTTGTCTCCTAGGGGTGTCCTAGGAGTGTCATGTACATAAATCCCTGGGCACAGTGCCTGGCTGATAGAAAGCACTTGATACATGGTGGCTCTTTCTGTGATTTTCCATTCCACTGGGCCAACAGGAGGGTGTTTCATTTCAAGCCATTTCAGGATGGGGATGAATTTCAGCGGCTCCCTAAAGAAGATGAGAAGTGGGTAGTCTGTTCCTGTTGGGGTGCACATTGCCCCTTCTGACCATTTTTCCTGATTGACATCAGACTGTAAGGTTGGGGTACTTAGAGAAATGGTGGAGATGGTGGGTGATTGGCCTCAGGCTTCCTCTGCTCACTAGAGGTAATTCCAAGGCTTCTGGACCAGCTGCTCTGTGGGATAGGCAGTTAGGGAAGGCTTAGGAATCTGCTCTGTGGTTCTGGGTCAAGGACCAGCCTTTGGGGCAACTCCTGTGCCTCTGCAGCAGAGAAGCCATCAGTGCTGATGCCCATCTCCTCAAGAGCAGGGCTGGTGTTGGTTCAGCCCCTTCCTGGTTGTAAAACCTTGAGTAAGTTACTTGAGCTCATCAATTGCAAAATGGGGGAATAATACTACCTATCTTCTAGGGGTGTTATGTGGATTAAAATAGGGAGTTCCAGAGCTGCACTGTCCAACATAGTAGCCACTAGCCCTATGTGGCTATTAAGCACCTGAAATGTGGCTAGTGTGACTGAGGAACTGAATTTTAAGTTTTAATAATTTTAATGAACTTAAATTACTTTTCAACTGTAAATTTCATGAACTCTAAATACAGATAAAATATTTCTGATGAAAACTTAGGGTCTGAATTGAGATGTACTGTAAGTGTAAAGTACGCATTGGATTTCAAATATTTAATATGAAAAAAGAATTTAAAAATTTATCAATATTTTTATATTGGTAACCTATTGAAATGATAATATTTTGGATATATTGGGTTAAATAAAATATTATTAAGTTTTATAAAATATTTTGAGATGAATGAAAATGAAAACACAACATTCCAAAACTTATGGGATGCATCTAAACCAGGAAGAAATTTTATGCTCTAAATACCTATATTAAAAAAAGAAGATCTCAAATCAATAATCTAACCTTCTACCTCAGGAAACTATAAAAAGAGGAGCAAGTTAAGCTCAAAGAAAGCAAAATGAAGACATAATAAAAATTAGAGCATAAATAAATGAGATAAAAAAGAAAAACAATAGAGAAAATCAGCAAAACCAGAAGTTGATTCTTTGAAAAAATCAATAAATTGGCAAATCTTTAGCTATACTGACCAAGAGAAAAAGAGAGAAGACACAAG